ATATCATGTCACCACTCTTCTTAACCCTCTTGTCATAACACCCAACTGTCCAACCCCTTAATTGACATTTAAGGCTCTTTGCTATCTCATAACACATAACAACAGTCATATCTTCTGCAACTTCCCACCATGCACATGTACTCGCCAGCTATACAGAATTTCTTACACATCATTTCTTCAATGTATCATGCTTTTCATGGTTTGCTTGCACATGCAAGTTCACATGCACTCTGCTGGCCCTACCTTTCTCCTCTTCTCCACTTGGCATGCACCTAGCTATTCTTCAAAGCTAGATTTTATATTACCTACAATGAAGCCCCCAAAACTCTCCTAGTTGCTTGATCCCTTCTCATTGCTACCATAGCAGTGAGAACATATCTCTATAACCTATTTCTTGCTTGAGTTGATCTCTTCTCCCAGAGAATTTGAGGTGGGATTGTCTCTATACATTGAGGTTGGGGATCATGCCTGTCTTATTCATCAAGGTATCCTTAGCACATGACACTGCCTGGCACGTAGTTGGCACTCAAAAAATGTTTATTAAATGAGTAATGAATTAATTGTTACTTTCATATTCTAGAGCAACAAGAAATTGTCCCCAGCTTATGGGACTAGGCTACTTGAGGCTACCTCACTTTTATCAATTACCGTATATTCCTCTTTGTTTTTCCTCTAAATAAAGTGACTTTGGGAAATTATTATAATTTAGTCACTTTCCCATCCTGCTCCTCCCTTCCTAAGGACTGCCTGCTTTCAGGTTGTCCTCATGTATACCTGCTGCCACTACTGGTGTCCTAAGGAGGTTGACCATTTGAGAGCAGGGCTGCCTTGTTGGTTGGCTGATGTTTTCTCCAAAGCTTATTCTTCATGCAGTGATGAACCATCAACCCAGCCTTCAGTAGACCGAAACCCCCTACTTTTGACCAGTTTTATCAAGGCTGGGATTTTTCTTTGCCAAGCATTCCAGAACTTTGGCTTTTATTGTCTGAAACAAAATAGTTTTTGATGCATGGTCACTTTGCTTATCTATCTTTTGACTGTGTTGGCTGAGAGGAATTTAATACTGACTCTTAGTGAGATTTCAGCATCTGATATATTTAAGACAATGATAGCTTCTTTCATTTTTATAACACTTTACTCAACCCATACATACGTTCTTGTCAACCCCAAATTATTCAACATGTGTTATCACAGTGCCTACAATAACTCAGTGAGTTAAGTTGTATACAGTTACACACACACACACACGCACATGCATGATATTTAGGATTTTTCAGGTCAAACCTATTCTGTTAT